GATCTTGTGTTTGAAACTTTAGATCGACTCACTTGGTGAGGATCTCTAAGCCTTGAAAACAAAACAAGATCTATCCGTGGCTTTCGGTATAGATCACTCTTTCATCCTCTCCTCCAAACCCATGGCTTTTGGTGGAAAGAGAGGTCGAAAGGCAAGGAAAACAGATTTCAAGTAATGGCTTAACTAGTCCCCCAAACTTCCATGGCTTTTGGGAAGGGGTAACTAGTCTCTAAGGTGTGATCTTCCGAGGCTCCTGGATCCTGTCAAGGTAAGGAACCTCTCGGATCGTGAAGCTCTTGGCGTGAGAGTCTTCAAGCATTAAGCTTTCAACACCTTAGAAGAGATAGCCTTTAAAACGTTTAGAAAACAAACCAAGATCGAACCCTTTCTACCCCTTAATCCTCTCAACCCCGAACCCAAAAGAAACTACTCACTACACATAGAGTAAATCAAGCAAAGCATAAGAAATACGACGATGAACATGAAAGAAAGACTAGATTAAACGATAAATATTCGAATACAAAAGCTTCAAAGGAAAATGAGTTCAACAATGGTGTTCTTCGTCAAAAGGAGAGAAAAAACATGAAAGAAAGGATAAGGATCTAAAAATTATCGAAAAAGCATCTCGCCGCTTTGCCTAAAATGCCCAAACAAGCCAATGGTCCCCCCTTCGCTAACAGCCAAAAACGGTTAAAATGACAGAAATCGACCACTGGATCGAGTGGTTCTCTCGATCACATCCGGGCATCGTGTCTTCGTCTCGATCCGGGTCTCGATCTTCATCGGCGAATCGAGTGTTGCATCCGATCTCGGTATCGATCTTCGGGTGGATCGAGTGGTGTACTCGATCTGGCTCTCGCTCTGCATGGCGTCATTTACGTCCGTACCGATTGATCGATTGCTTCACTCGATCTCCGCCTCGATCATTCTCCCTGGATCGCCTAGTTGGCTCGATCTTTTGGTCGATCAACTCCTGGATCGACCGGATATGCTCGATCTGCTCCTCGATCACTGGTCTTTAGCATATTTCCGAGCTCCCACGAACTGCTACATCAGCCTCCACACGCCCACGAACCTCCATGACTCCAAAGTAGCCAGAAACAACCTAAATGTGATGCAAAATTCAAAAGAAATGCATATGCTGATGCAAGAATGCTCTAGGACCCTAAGTGATGCAATCTAACCTAAAACATGATACAAATGCATGAAAAACTAACTAATGAATATGCAAAATGTATGCAATATGCAATAACATCAATCGCTTCACTCGATCTCCGTCTTGATCAGTTCTCTTGGATCGGATGGACTACTCGATCTTCTGGTCGATCTCATCTAGATCGACCGGCCATGCTCGATCCGCTTCTCTATCTCTGGTCCTTAGCAAGCATTCCTGAATTCTCCAAGTTCCCACGAACCTCCTCACGAGCCTCAGCACGTCCACGAACCCTCCAAGACTCCAAAGTAGCCGAAAACAACCTGAATGCGATGCAAAATGTAAGAAACATGCATATGCTGGTGCAAGAACACTCTAGGACCTAAAGTGATGCACACTAGTCTAAAATGCAATGTATATGTGTGAGAAACTAACTTATATGTATGCAAAATACATGAAATATGCAGTAATATCATTCGTATTTCCTTTAGGGGTTTGTGTTGAACCTTCACCTGTTTCCCTTTACTGCATGCTTCACACACAATATCAGACTGTGTCTCCAACTTTGGTACACCTCTGGCTATCTCTGCTTTAACAATCTTGCTGAGAGCATGAACATTCATATGTCCTAAGCGTTTGTGCCACAGATCTAGCTGGGACTCTTGCGCCGACAAGCATTGATTCGACTTGCTGCCCATGTAGTAGTTGTTCCCTGACCTTACTCCATATAAGACAATGTTTCCACTCTCATCTAATGCTTGACAGTCAGTTCAGGTAAACAGTACCTTAAGTCCTTCATCACATAGTTGAGTTATGCTGGTGAGATTTGCCTTCAGTCCATCAACATAGTACACATTGATCAGTTGAGGTTTCTCATCTTTGCTAATGTTGCCCACACCTTTAATTTTTCCTTCACCTCCATCTCCAAATGTAACTCTTCCTCCTCTAACATCACTGTAAGTATCCAGAGTATTCAGGTCTCCAGTCATGTGTTGCGAACACCCACTGTCAAAGTACCAAGGGTTAGCTTCTTCCTTGTTGACTGAAGTGTATGCGACGTTGCTCTGTATTGATCTCATCCTTACGAAGTTGCAAAACACTTCATCTTCTGATTTCTCTTGATTGTTCACCCCACTTAGAATCTGCTTAGCTATACAAACTTTTCTAAAGAATTTTGGTTCAGGAAAGCACAAATTTCTGTTCCAAGCAGCCACGATTCGCTTTCTTCGATTCAGCAATTTACATTCCCACATGAGATGTCCTTGGTTCTTATAGTGGTAGCATCTTCAGTTCGTCCTGCGAGCTTGCTCCAGTTTCAATCCAACAGTTTCTACCTTATGATGAGTACGGTTATCAGTCCTTTTCTTTTCTTGAGTGTCGTTCCCTTTAGGCTGAGATGTGGACCCTGTCCTGAACTGGATCGTGTTGGGAGATGTCACATGTGTCACACACTCCTTTCCAGTGTATCCCAAACCCCATTTCACTTTAGGAGGTTGTCCGATCGATTGTATCTTATCCAGATCTTTTGTTCCAGTATTCAGCATCCTGATTTTTTTGTGGTTCTCCTCTAATTCTCTTAGTAGTCCCTTTGCTTTCTCTTCCTCTTTGGAGAAAGCTTCCATAATCTGTTTGACATTCACCTCGAGAACTCTGTTTCTCTCTTTCTCATCTACCAATAACTTGCTAAGTGCTTCTGTAGCAGGAACAACTTCTGCAAGATTGTCGTCTTTGATCACTGTATCCTTCTTCCTTTCGTATTCCAAGATGTTAAGTTGTGATTTCAACATGGCCATATCATTGATAAGTTGAAGGTTTTTGTTACTCAGCAACACATTCTTGTTATATTGATCACTGTATTCTTGAGTGATATCGAACACACTGTCATCATCCGAATCTGAATTAGCTTCGACTTTGTTAACATGTTCATCCTGAGCAGAGAACACAACAAAATTGAGCATCAGTTCCTGACATGATTCATCACTGTTCTCACTATCGCTGAAAACAACCAGAGATTTGTTCTTCAAAGCACTTAAAAACTCTGCTCTGGTATGACCATGCCCTCTACATTCTGAGCATTTCAGTTCCTTTAATTTTGTGAGTGGACACTCATTTCAAATGTGACCAAAACTTTCACATTCATGACATTGCATCTCTTTTTTCTTACCAGAACGATCACCATCCGACCTCTGTCCTCGATCCATATAACTTCGTTGAACTCTCCTGAAGGTTTGATTGTGTCCCTTCTCAACTCTCTTAAGCATCTTGTTGAAATTTCTCGCCATAAGACTCATATTCTCTTCAATGAGTTTCACTCGGTCTTTATCCCCTTCTACTACAAACATTATTCCTTGGTGAAAGGTAGGTTCTTCAACCGTTGCTTCCATCTCTTCAGTCTTGAGCATTCCACATAACCGATCAAGCTTCATATCATCAGTATTCATAGAGTATTTGAGAATGGCCTTGTGTGCAGCATACTTAGGTGGCAGACAACACAGAAGTTTCTTAACAAGCTTCTTTTCTTTGTACTTTTTTCCCAACACTGATGCTTCATTTGCAATAGTGCTATTTTTTCCAGTGAAGCTTGCGATAGACTCATCCTTACCCATTCTAAGATTTTCGAATTGAGATGCTAAGTGGTCTATTCTGGTTCTCCTAACGCTTGTATCTCCTTCAAAGTGATTCACAAGTGTATCCCAAGCTTCTTTGGCTGACTTACATCCCTGGATGATTTTGAACTGATCCAAATCTACAGAAGCAAAGATAGTTGACATTGCCTTTGAGTTGAATTTTGAGGCATTCTTATATGCTTCTGTCCACCTCTCTTTGGGTTTGGGTTTCACAGTAATCTTAGGCGGGATAGTCTTATCTTCGGACTTTTCTTCAACCAGTATTGTTGGTGCTTGCCAGCCTTCTACTACTGCAGTCCAAGCATCTTCATCTATGCCCCGAATGATGTGTTGCATACGTGCTTTCCAGTGTCTGAAGTTACTGGCATCAAGGAGCAAGGGATTTTGAACTGCAATCAATTCCTTCATAGTGTCCATGATCGTCACAGGATCTCAACCTGTTGTTAGATCAACTGATCTAAAGGTGACCCGCTCTAATACCAAATGTAGATTCACGGATTCTAGGAAGGCCTTATTGGTTCAATATGTGTAACACAGATTAAGATTATAAACACACTTTATTAAGAATCTCTTAAACAATCCTTACAGATCTGTTCAATCAGAATTACACCCTATTACACAATCCTTAAGACCTGTAATATGACACTAACCGATTCCTAACTATCCACACAACAACAGCTGTGTTTGCTCACCAAACACCTAAACTCTTCTTCCAAGACAAGAGTGTTCTAACCCCCATTTTTGGCTGACCTAACCTAGTTACTAGAGTAGCACATATATACTCTCTTCGACAAACCCGACTTGCCGTGTCTTTGATGTTTCGTATATTAACCAAGAGCCAAATCAGGCAACTATAATATCTTCCTTGATGCACACGTATTCCCTTGTTGTAGTTTTTCTTTCTTCGCGCCTTATGTATGCGATACACTTTACCAAGTGTTCCACGAATCTCCATCTTACACAGAGCTCACGAGCCTGACGGAAGGATGGATGACTCGCCGATAAGGGCGATCGGGGGTGTTACATAGGACTTCACAACCAATAATATGACTCTACTACTTAACTGCTTCAAATATATTTGTTCGTATTCATGAAGAATTTACATATACCTTTTCAACCGTTTTCTATTTTGGGAGTATATTCAACATTTTCTATTCAAATAAAAAAAATCTAAATTTTAAATGCACTAATTTTAGGAGGAATAACTGAAATAGAGGAAGTAAAGACAGCAAAAATTAACGAAAACTTAGGTGAGCCATAAAATCTGATTACTGGAAGAGAAGAAAGAGTTCCGAGAATAAAGATGGATCTCTAGTTAGGGTTTTAAATGTAACAGAACAAAGATTTGTGTCAAGTGTGTTCTTGTTTTGTATTTATTTGTTTCCTAGGTTTCTTTTAATATTATATTCTTCTTCTCTCTCCTTCCCTCTTATGGCCTCCTCTTAAAAGTGTCGTTCATGACCGTCTAAGAGAGCGCTTTAGAGAAAGGGGAGAAGAAAGAAGTTGGCTCGTCCAGCGGATATACATCTTCCTATATCTACATTTATTATTTACTGTTTAGAACATATCTGTCTTTTAAGAAAAAAATGGCGTCTGATATCTCGTGGGATGAAATAAAAAAAGAGAATGTTGATCTTGTAAGAATTTGATTATATTAAATGCTTTTTCTATTAATTTTGTTATGTGCTTAGCAAAGATAAAACAACATAATTATTTTTTGTTAAAATTGCTAATTTTTGAATTATTATGTACCAATTTTAGGAACGGATCCCTGTGGAAGAAGTGTTTGAACAGCTAAAATGCTCAAAAGAAGGTTTGTCAAACGATGAAGGGAAAAAGAGGCTTGAGATATTTGGGGCAAACAAGCTTGAAGAGAAAACAGAAAATAAGTTTTTGAAATTCTTGGGGTTTATGTGGAATCCTCTCTCATGGGTTATGGAGTCTGCTGCAATTATGGCAATTGTTTTAGCCAACGGAGGAGGAAAGCCTCCGGACTGGCAAGATTTCATTGGTATTATGGTGTTACTTGTCATCAACTCCACTATTAGTTTCATCGAGGAGAATAACGCAGGCAATGCCGCTGCAGCTCTCATGGCAAATCTTGCCCCCAAAACTAAAGTATTCAATATTAAAAATCTAGAAATACAATTACATAAATTAATATATATATATATATATATATATATAAATGTTACTAATGCGATGTAGGTGTTAAGAGATGGAAAATGGGGAGAGCAAGAGGCTTCAATCCTAGTTCCGGGTGATCTAATAAGCATCAAATTGGGGGACATTGTCCCTGCTGATGCTCGTCTCCTGGAGGGAGATCCTCTCAAAATTGACCAATCTGCTCTTACTGGTGAGTCTCTTCCAGTTACCAAACACCCTGGTGATGAAGTATTCTCAGGTTCAACCTGCAAACAAGGTGAAATTGAGGCTGTTGTGATTGCCACCGGTGTCCACACTTTCTTTGGTAAAGCTGCTCATCTTGTAGACAGTACCAACAATGTTGGCCATTTCCAAAAGGTAAGAATCTAATCTTAGAAACGAACAACACATGGATGTTCAAAATGCCAGCCTACGTTCTCACAATCATTTTCTTGTTTATATTTTTATTTTAGGTTTTGACTTCAATTGGTAACTTCTGTATATGCTCAATTGGAATAGGCATGTTGATTGAGATCTTAATAATGTATCCCATACAACACCGCACATATAGAGATGGTATTGATAATCTATTGGTACTTTTGATCGGAGGAATCCCAATTGCCATGCCAACAGTTTTATCTGTAACAATGGCTATTGGGTCACATAGACTCTCTCAACAAGGTGCCATTACTAAGAGGATGACTGCAATTGAGGAAATGGCTGGAATGGATGTTCTTTGCAGTGATAAGACTGGGACTCTAACTCTTAACAAGCTCTCTGTGGACAAGTCATTGATTGAAGTATTCCCATATAACATGGATACTGATGCAGTTATATTAATGGCTGCAAGAGCCTCTAGAATTGAAAACCAAGACGCCATTGATGCCTCTATTGTTGGCATGTTGGGTGACCCAAAAGAGGTACTTCATCTTTGTGAAATTTTGATTTCATTCAGTTAAATTCTTATTCTTATTCTTCAAGTGCCCTTGATTGAGTAAATAGGCAAGAGAAGGGATCACAGAGGTCCATTTTTTGCCATTCAACCCTGTAGATAAACGTACTGCCATCACGTACATTGATGAAAATGGAAACTGGCATCGGAGCAGCAAAGGAGCTCCTGAGCAAGTAATAAAATTAAAATGGTGATTTGTTAGTATAACTTATTATAAGATTGTTTTTGACCAAATACCAAATTGTTTTTTTTTTTAGATCATTGAGCTTTGCAATCTCCAAGAAGAGACAAGAAGAAAAGCTCATGAAGTTATTGATGGTTTTGCTGAACGTGGGCTTCGTTCTCTTGGGGTGGCTCAACAAGTATGTCAAAAAAAGACTCATTACAAAATTATATTTGGTACCATGGTTTTTGTTTTCTTAAACGTTTCCATTCATATGTAAATATAGACTGTGCCGGAGAAGAGCAAGGAAAGCGATGGTGCTTCATGGGAATTTGTTGGTCTACTGCCACTCTTTGACCCACCAAGACATGATAGTGCAGAAACGATTAGACGAGCTCTTGAGCTTGGTGTTAATGTAAAGATGATTACTGGTGACCAACTTGCCATTGGTATTGAGACTGGTCGTAGGCTTGGCATGGGAACAAACATGTACCCATCCACTTCACTCCTTGGAAATTCAAAGGATGAATCATTGGTTGGCATCCCTATCGATGAGCTTATTGAAAAAGCTGATGGATTTGCTGGAGTTTTTCCTGGTAATATATTTACATTCTGATTTTGTAGAATTAGTATTACAAATTATAATCATTATACGAGTTTGAGATGCACATTGGTTTATCAATTATACTAAGATAATCCATTAAGTTAAATATCTTGGTCAAATTCAAATATTTAACATTAAAAAGATTTTTGTTTTCCATTATATGTATTTTGGCGTATACAGAGCACAAGTATGAGATTGTGAAGAAACTACAAGAGAGGAAGCACATTTGTGGTATGACTGGAGATGGAGTAAATGATGCTCCTGCTTTGAAAAAAGCGGATATTGGAATTGCAGTAGCTGATGCAACTGATGCGGCGAGAAGTGCCTCTGACATTGTTCTAACGGAACCAGGACTTAGCGTTATAGTAAGTGCTGTGCTTACAAGTCGTGCAATTTTCCAGAGGATGAAGAACTACACAATCTATGCCGTCTCCATCACTATTCGTATTGTGTTGGGATTCATGCTTGTGGCTTTAATATGGAGATTTGATTTTGCACCTTTCATGGTTTTGATTATCGCAATCCTAAATGATGGAACTATCATGACAATCTCTAAGGACAGAGTAAAACCATCTCCAGTGCCAGATTCATGGAAGCTCAATGAGATTTTTGCCACTGGTGTTGTTCTAGGAACCTACATGGCTCTTACAACTGTGCTCTTTTTCTGGCTAGCTCATGACACTAATTTCTTCAGCGTAAGTAGTATACAATAAGATATCAAGAGCATTATGGAACTAGGCTTATTTTTGAAATATAAAATTTTCAGAAAACATTTGGGGTTAGGTCCATCCAAGGAAATGAGGAAGAGCTTATGGCAGCTTTGTACCTTCAAGTGAGCATTATAAGTCAAGCACTTATCTTTGTCACAAGATCAAGGAGTTGGTCATACGTTGAACGGCCTGGGGCTTGGCTTGGTATAGCCTTTATTATAGCACAATTGGTTAGTACATTCCCTTCTAGCCATACGAATATCTATTTTATTTAATTTTTTTTGTTAGCATAGTAAACTTATATTGATTTTATTCAACAAGCAAGGTCGCTACATTGATCGCTGTATATGCAAACTGGGAATTTGCAAGGATCCTAGGCTGTGGATGGGGATGGGCTGGAGTTATATGGTTATATAGTATCATTACCTACATTCCTCTTGACATTCTCAAGTTCATAATCCGTTACTCTCTCACTGGCAAGGCTTGGGATAACATGATCCAACAGAAAGTGAACACAATAAACATGAAAACATTAATGAAAAATTACTTTAATGTATATTACATTTGATATTCAAATATGTTTAATATTTTACAGACTGCTTTCACAACAAAGAAAGATTATGGTAAAGGAGAGAGGGAGGCTCAATGGGCATTAGCTCAACGCACACTGCATGGCCTACCACCACCGGAAGCAATGTTCCATGACAAGAACCATGAACTCTCTGAAATAGCAGAGCAAGCGAAAAGGCGTGCTGAGGTGGCGAGGTAAACAACTTAATTTTCACAATCAAAGTAATTAAAAAATAAAATAGGTGGAGTAACAAAAGTAACTATGAATCTTGTCTGGTTTGTAGGCTGAGAGAGCTTCACACTCTAAAAGGTCACGTTGAATCTGTAGTCAAGCTGAAAGGGATCGATATTGATACTATTCAACAACATTACACTGTTTAATAATTTATTGAGTTACTACTATCCAAGAGCCTTAATCAACAAGATGAGCTATATTTTCTACTTTTATTATTTCTAAAACATATGTATCAAAAAAAAAGAGAGCAAAAACAAGATATAATATATTTTTCCGTTGGATGAAATAAAATAAAACCTAGTTAATTACAAAATCTACTCTGTTTCACTGTTAACATTTTCTTACAAAGATGGGTGTGTCTCAATTTCTTTGAACATCACATGCACATTTTTATTAAATGAATGTTTATTGTGTTAAAATATCTCAATAATATTATTTGAGAAGTACATAGACAGAAATAATCAAATAAATACTTTTATCATTTATCTATAATATATAAAAGTTGATGGCATAGTGCATTGATGACGTCCACATGAGATTAAAAAATTCGATATGATTGGTCTACATCAACATATTCATTAAATTTAAAAATATTAAATATGATTAGGACGAAAAAACTCGATCTGATTGGTCCACATCAGCGTTTTCATTAAAACACAAAAATTTATATTTGATTAGCAATTTTAATAAATTAAAATATGCAAAAAAACAAAAAACTTTCATATTAGAATGGAAAATTAAGATAAAAATGTTTAATTAAAAAAACAGATTAAATGAAGTTATGTCAAAAATAAAAATTTATAACGTCTATCAAAATAAAATAGAAATCCAATATCATAAAACCCAAATCAGCAAAAAAGGAAATTAATAGCAAAATGATAAATTAAAAAACAATTCAAAATAAAAATATTAAATCAATAAAAAAGTTACAAGTTTTTAACTGATAAAGTAAAAAAGAACTTAATTAACAAAAATATGGCATAGTGCATTGAGAGCGTCCACATGAAATTCAAAAACTCAATTTGATTGGTCCACATTAGCATATACAGTAAATAAAAAATATTAAATATGATTAGGATGAGGAAACTCGATCTGATTGGTCCACATCAACGTTTTCATTAAAACACAAAAATTTATATTTGATTAGCAAAAAAAACAAAAAACTTCCATATTAGCATGAAAAATTAAGATAAAAAATGTTTAAATAACAAAACAGATTAAATAAAATTATGTAAAAAATCTAAATTTATAACGTTTATCAAAATAATATAGAAATCCAATATCATATAACCTAAATAAAAAAAAGGAAATTAATAACAAAAATATTAAATTAAAAAAAATTTCAAAATAAAAATATTAAATAAATCAAAAAATAAATAAATTACAAGTATTTAACTGATAAAGTAAAAAAAAAAACTTAGTTAGCAAAAAAATATAAAGCTTTAAGCTAACTATTTAAGAAACTAATATAAAAAATAAAATAAAAAATGAAAAGTTAATTATGTTTTATAAAGTGTTCATACAATAAATATAAAAAATAATAGCGGTTAAATATTTTTTTTTTAAAAATCATCTAAAAACTGATTATTTAAAAATTAATATAAAACACTATCATTAACAGAAAAATAAAATTATGTATATAAAATATCAATATTTTGAAAAAAAATGTTTCAAAATAAATAAGATTTAGTATCAGAAGAGGTAAATTAACAAAAAAAAGAAATCGTATAAAAAAAAACTAACTTGATATTTAGGCTAACGTTTTTAAAAAATTAACATATAACCAAATGATGTTATAAGATTTTAAGGGAAGTCCGCATAAGATTTTTAAATAAACAGTTATAGCATGTCAAATCAGTGTTATAACTAAAATGAAAATTAATATGAAAAAACAAATTTAACAAAGAAAAATCATTTGTGTACAAGAAATTAATTGATGTATTTGATACCTATTTTGAAATTCAACAATAAAAGATGTAAAGTATATATATAAAAAATAAACGAAACTAATTTAAAATTACTTTCAAATTTTTTCTGATTTCTAAAATTGTGGTATGGACAATGAATAATCAAATATATTTTTTAAATATACAAAGATTAAAATATTTTGTGTTTTTGATTTAAAAATAACAAAGAAAGATACTACATAAGTAATTTTACATTTAAAATTTAACAAGTAATAAAATTTGATTTCTATACATAGCTACTACTTATATCTGAACCAACATCAATAACACATGGCTAACATATTCCAAAATTCTATTTAAATAATAAAGTATGACAGACTTATTAGTCAAACACAAATTAGTATATGAAGCTAAAATATTCAAATGAAACATGCAGAAAGCCAAAAAAAATATATATAGTGAAAAATAATGTGAAGACTCTACACTATTAATTCTACAAGTTTCAGAATTAAAGCTATCAAATATTATACTGCAATAAAGAATATTTAAGTAATAAATTGTAAAAATATATAAGTTAAAATTCATAGTAGACCTGAAATAGAAGCAAAAACAGATTTGCATGATCATTGCAGCTTCCTAACAAAACTAAATGCTAATCAATATGAATCATAAATTATAAATGCATAGGTACACAACATCAACGAGACATTCAATAAAAAAAACATCAAGATCTTAGCAATAAAATATTTCTCTAAATAAAATTTATGTGTACATCAAAGTTAGATAATTCGATAGATGTCATTGTTATTGTTTTACTTAATAAGATTTCAAATTTATAAATAAAAATAGAAACAACTGTAAATTATATTTTAAATTCTATTTATACAACAAATTTCTAAAAACGTATTATAGTTTTGATAATTTAAAATATAATAGCAAAAAAAAATTAAACAAAATTATTAATACACACTCGCGCATAGCGCGAATTATAAACCTAGTTACTAATAAAAGTTGATGCTAAATACCTCTAAAAGTGTCCACATAGGATTAAAAGATTCAATTCTATTGCTACACATCATCATTATCTATAATTAATTATATATTATATATTGTATATTAAAATTAATTAATTAATTTTTATTGTTATAAGGACAATTTCTAAGTTTTAATTAATTTTAGTTTTTGTTGTTATTAGGAAAGTTTCAAAATTTTAAGTCAATTACTAATAAGAAATAGTTTATAAAGTGGATCTTATTTTTCAATTCATAATATAAAGTAAACTAACATATAAATATCTTTAACAAACAAAAAAAATTAACATATAAAAAGTTTTTTCAAAAAAATCATATATATTGAACAAATTAATTGAAAACTGAATTTAAGACCATAATTAAACTATTTGAAAATTTTAATCATAACAAACAATTAAAAACTGAACTACTAACCTAAAATATCTTAGTTGTGGTCCCTGTTGATATCTTAAGCCAATAAGAGCATTTATATATGACGTGGAAACTCAATCTAATTGGTCAATATAAATAATTTTTATTAAACATATAAACGCTAGATATGATTAATAATTTAAACAAATTAAAATATACAAAAATATAAATTATCATAGTATAATAGAAAATTAAGATAAAAAAAAGATTAACTAACAAACCAGATAAAAAAAAATTATGTCAAAAATCCAAATCTGTAACGTTTGTCAAAATAAAATGGAAACATATTGTCACAAAACCTTAACTAACAAAAACAAATATGTAAATCAATAACAAACGAAGTTTAATTATAAAAAAAACATAAAATATTTTTTGCAACATGTTAATACAATTAAAATGAAAATTCATATAAGAGGATATTAATTTCTAAACCAAATTATTATTTAGAAATTCAACACAAAATGCTAAACTAACAAAAAACCAAACGTAAACTAGATTATATCAATAACTAAACCAAATTATTAATTTCTATAAACAAATTCTTATTTGAAAAATCAACACAAAAGGCTAAACTAACCAAAAAGTATAACTAAAAAAAAACAAACGTAAATTATTTTTTGCAACATCTTAATACAATTAAAATGAAAATTCATAAAAAAATTAAATTAACAAAAAAGAGGATATTAACTTGATATCTATGCTATTTTGTATTTAACAAAATCAATATAAACAAAATAAGTAAGAAAAAGAAAACTTAAGTAATACTAAAAAATTTTACTAACAGAAAGAAGAGAAATATTTAAGCTGTTGATATACTCATTATTTACACCATATTAGCATACAATTTTGCATTGTTTTGTAGTCTTCAAGCATGCACTTCCACACTTTCATGTCCAAATTGCATCCACTTAACATCTAGAGTATAATTAGGAGTTGCATTGCATATTAGGTGCATTCCTAGCACTTGGTAGGTGCATTTTGGGAGTTTAGGGACCAGAGGAAGAATTGGGAATCAAAAGGTGAAGAAGCCAAGGCGAAGGGAGCTTCGCATCGAGCAGGATATCGACATGGCAGATCGATACACAGAGTACAGAGCAGAGTATCGACGTCACGCATCGATACATGTTGGAGAGCTATACCGATCATCACATTGAAGTCTCAGCATCCATACAAGGAGACAGGACACCAGAAGGATATCGAGCTACTCTGATCGATACACCTGCTTCAAAACTCTTGTACCGATTATCATATCGACATAGGATTATCTCGGTATGCAGGCCAAAGAAGTGTATTGACCACTGTATCGACATTGGAGCTCGATGAGCCTTAACTAAAGGGCAATTGTATCGCACAGTATACCGAGGAGATCACCCGTGACGCCTTGACCATGGGCGACTGTATCGATCCGAGTATCGGTTAGACCTGATCGATACACTCTCCTGCCAACCGATATCGACCAGGGTATCGACATAACAAGTCGATATCAGGCACCCGAATCAGCTGCTTTACGGTTTATTCCCAGTTTACTAAGGGGTTTTCCTAAAAACTATATATAGGTTGCGACCTAAAAACAGAGATGGGGATCTCTTCATCTTTTATCCTCTGGATAATAGCTTTCTCTTTTGCATTTCCCTTAGTTTTTCTTGTAATCTCTTATTGAATCTTGCTCTATCAATCAAAACTTGGTGTTTATGTTCTCTCTTACCATGATTTGTTATCCCTCCTTGCTTTGGGCTGTGATTAGGATCATGATTAGTGAGTAGTCTGCTTAGGGTTTGAGATGGGATAAAGATAAGGAGATTTAAGGTTAGATTAGTGATTGCTTAGTGCTTAATGTGATTGTTCCTTCTTATTGATTGAGTTTAATGCTAGATTAGCCTTTGCTAAGTTGATCTAGATCCTAGGGTTCTCTTATGCCTGATAAGTGTTTGATGAATTAACTGAATGAGTCAAGTAAGAGATTTG